TGTCCCCACCACACACACACACACACACACACACACACACACACACACACACACACCATTTGTATAGCAAAAATGCTGGGGTGAGTCCTTATAGTATCTTCTCTTGGACTTTTCCCTTCTGTTTGTTTGTTTGTTTGTTTGTTTCCAATTCCAGTATGTTAGTTTCAGTTTTACCTAATTATTTTATTTATTGGAAGAAAACAACACAGTGAAGTAGTTAAATACACATAAGCCAGATCCCGCTTTGAGTGGTCATTGACCATGTGACCTTGGGCAAATCATCGACTCTTCCTGCCTGCAATGATTAGTTTTAATTTACAACATGACAATCTAGAGTCGGTGAGAGGCTGTCTAGATCAGTGTGGGCTGTAGGTATGTCTGTGGGGGGCTTTATTGTTAACTGGGGTGGGAAGGCATGGTCCCACTATGGGTGACACCACTCCCTAGGAAGGGGAACTGGACTATATAAGTATAATGAGAGTAATGAGCCAGAAGTAAGCATGTTTGCACTCATTTCTCTCTGCTCTCCACTGTGGAGGTATGTTACTAGCTGCTTCAAGGCCCAAGTGCTGTGATTTCTTCCACAATAATGAGCTATTCCCTGGAATTGAGAGCTAAAATAAAACCCATCCCCCATAAGTTGCTTCTTTTTTTTTTTAAAGATTTTATTTATTTATTATGTATACAACATTCTGCTTCCATGTATATCTGTACACCAGAAGAGGGCACCAGATTTCATAACGGATGGTTGGGAGCCACCGGGTGGTTGCTGGGAATTGAACTCAGGACCTCTGGAAGAGCAGTCAGTGCTCTTAACCTCTGAGCCATCTCTTCAGCCCCATAAGTTGCTTCTTATCAGAAATTTTATCACAATAACAGAAATGAACCTAGGGCGCTGCACTTCTGTCTCGTCTGTAAAATAGGAATACCGTTCTGGTTACCGTTTTACTGTTGTGCTAAGACACCTTGACCAACTTAAAGAAGAAAGTGTTTATTTGGGGCTTACTGTTTCAAAGAGTTGAAGTCCATGACCATCATGACACAGAGCATGGCAGCAAATAGGCAGATATGACTCTGGATTTGCACCTGAGAACTTTTTTTTAACTTTGTTTTATTGATGAACTATACATTTTTCTCCATTCCCCTTCCCTCCTCTCCTCTCCCATCCTACGCTACCCCCCCCCACACACACACGGGAGATCTTCCCTTCCTAGGCTGATTCATGTAAGTCTCCTTTAGGGTCCTCTTGGTTACCTAGGTTCTCTGAGGTTGTGGCCTCTAGGCTGGTTGTCCTTTGCTTTGTGTCTAATATCCACTTATGAGTGAGTACATATCATATTTGGCTTTCTGGGTCTGGGTTACCTCACTCAGGATGGTGTTCTCTAGTTCCACTCATTTGCCTGCAAATTTAAAGATGTCATTGCTATTTTTTTTGTTTGTTTTTTGGTTTTGGGTTTTTGTTTTTGTTTTTGTTTTTTTGTTGTTGTTGTTTTTGTTTTTGTTTTTTTTAACCGATGAGTACGCCATTGTGTAAATGTACCACATTTTCCTTATCCATTCTTCAGTTGAGGGGCATCTAGGTTGTTTCCAAGTCCTGGCTATTATGAATAATGTTGCTATGAACACAGTTGAGCAAATGTCCCTGTGGTGTGAGTGTGCCTCCTTTGGGTATATGCCCCAAAGTGGTATTGCTGGGTCTTGAGGCAGATTGATTCCCAATTTTCTGAGAAACCACCATACTGCTTTCCAGAATGACTGTACAAGTTTGCATTCCTACCAGCAATGGAGGAGTGTTCCCTTTTCTCCACATTCTCTCCGCATAAGCTGCCACTGGAGTTTTTTGGCTATTCTGACAGGAGTAAGATGGTATCTTAGAGTTATTTTTATTTTCATTTCTCTGATGACTAAGGGTGTTGAGCATTTCCTTATGTGTCTTTCAGCTATTTGAGATTCCTCTATGGAGAATTCTCTGTTTAGATCTATACCCCATATTTGATTAGATTATTTGGTCTTTTGATGTCTAGTGTCTTGAGGTCATTGTATATTTTGGAGATCAGTCCTCTGTCAGATGTGGGGTGGGTAAAGATCTCTTACCGTTCTGTAGGCTGCCATTTTGTCTTATTGACAGTGTCCTTTGCCTTACAGGAGAAGCTTCTCAGTTTGAGGAGGTCCCATTTACTCAATGTTGCTCTCAGCGTCTGTGCTACTGTTGTTAAATTTAGGAAGTGGTCTCCTGCGCCAATGCCCTGAGAACTGCTTGATTAGCAACCATGACACAGAAAGAGACACCTAATGTGGAAGGGTGTGGGCTTTTGAAACCTAAGCACGTGCATATAGAGGCCCATGGTTGATGTCAGGAATCATTTTCCATCACTCTCCTGCCTTATCTGCTGAGGAAAGGTCTTCCAATTAAACCCAGAACTCACTGATATGGCTAAAACGAGCTAGATTCCTCTGGGGATCTCCTGTTTCTACCTTCTGAGTCTACAATAATAGGCAGGCCACCATGCCCACTCGGCATTTACATGCATGGGGGTCTAGGGCTCTGAACTTTGAGCCTCATACTAGCATGGCAAATGCTTTACCCATTATATAATCATCTTCTCATTTTTGCCATTTTGTTCAGTTTATTTGTTGTTACTAATATAGTACCAGAACATTCCCGGCATGTTTAACAAGTTGATAAATAAAAAAAAAAAAATTGCTCAGGGAAGAATAATTTCATAGATGGTCAACCATACATGTAATAGGAAACTTTCTACTTGCTGTATTTTTCTTAGGATGAAAGTGAGTTTTATTTCCCATCACAATCATCTGTGATTAGGATGGAGAACCTCAAATGGAAGGTGACGAGGAGGATTGAGATGCCACCCAGCTCCAAATTAGTGTTGTTGGGCAATTCAAGGTGCTTGAAAGTTAGAGCCCATCAAATCCTTGGCAAACTTCATGAGAAGAACAACAACAGAATCAAAACAGTGCCATCTAGCAGGGAACACTAAAGCAGGTTGGAAGATCACTTAGAATAAACAACGTGATTTTTCAGCCATAAAGTGACCCCAGGTTTCATTGCCCTTAAAATTTAGGATCATTATCTAACGGACACTCCCTGTAATTTTAGAAGAGTTCACCTGTGCATATGAAGTTAATTATAATACTATTACATATCAAACTTGTTCCTTATAAAATTAAACACATGGTTATGGGAAAATTGTTCATTTATTAATGTTTGTTCCCATGAAGTCTTTAAAGTCTCATATTAAAAACATACCAACTCTAAAAAAAATTACAATGAACAGATAAGGTGGCTGTATTCCTGAATCCCAGTACTTGGAAGATGGAAACAGGAGGAACAGGGGTCCAAGATCATCTCTACTGCTTAACACGTTTGAGGCCAGCATGGCCTATATAAGGCCCTGACTTTAAAAAAATGCAGTATCTGTCGATTCCCACCATCGGAACATTAGGTACCCAGGAATGCCATGGTTGTTTTGCTCAGCTGTGGTTAAGAACGCTCTAAAGCAGAGGAGAGTTTGGATATCAGATTAGCCATGGCAGCCTCTTGTAGAAAAGGTACATTCAAAGTTTGAAAGGGAAGAAATGAATGTGGAAATGATTTTCCTATTGTTCATCAGAACATAAGGGCAGATGATTGGGTAGCCTGAAGACAAAGCTCCACTAATCACATCCAATACTTGGCTGTTCTTAGGTCCGTGGAGTGAATAGAAGGTGACAAAGGTGTTTGAGAAATAGAAAAACATGAAGAAACCCACCAGCAGGAGGATGCTGTGCGTGGCTTTCTTTTCAGAAGAGGCCTGGGAAGAGACTCTGGAACTGTGGACATGCCGGGTTCTCCTATTGTGTCTGAACAGGAGTGTCACCATGTAGAGGCTGGTCCCCATCATGAGAAGCACGAACAGGATGTCTCTAATCGTTAACGCAGTCACAAGTGACAAGGTGGTGTGATGGCGAACCTGGTTGCTTCGGCAGTATGTCTGGGAATATCTAGAATCCACAACAGTGAAGTTGATTTGGCCCTTTACGTTTTCAAGCATGGGAATATAGAGAAAGGCATTGATGATCCAGATGAGAAGGAGTGAGGGAAAAATGCAGGGCTCAAGCTTGGACTTAAGCCACGCCCACTTGGAATGATTAGAACTGACAGTGACGGCTTGAAACACACTCAGCAGAGACGTAGTGCAGATGGAAAGGCCCCTGGTAACACTGTATGCGTACAAAACTGCCTTGCATCCAACGTCATGGAAAAGGAGCTTGACCGCGAAGGACGCCATGACGTCTGGCAGCAGCCGGAAGGCGATGCTCAGCACGTTGACAAGCGTCAGATGTGTGAAAATCATATCTATGGGTTTCTTCAGACGAGGCTGAATTAAGAAGCTGTACATGTATAGCATGAAGAGCAGTGAGTTTCCCAGGAATCCAATGAAAAGTTCTGACAGGAAGAAGAATTCAGAAATTAGGTCTCTTGAAAACATTATCTTAAGGAAGTCTTCGGTGTTCTGGTTGGACAAGGCAGACCAAGCAAATATAAATGCATGATGTTGTGAGGTTAGAATTAGTGGACCAGGTGGATGAATACAGGGATCGACAGATGAGCACAAGGAGATGGTAGTGAAATGCACACCCTGCAGCCCGGGATCAGAGCCGGCCCTTCCATGAACTGGTTTCCATTATTTCTGGGAGCCTGAGAGTAGAAAGGTCAGGGTTAATGAACTCATATGGAAACACACAACATATTAGCATATGAACCAGGACATATTTCAGATGAAAGACAGATTTATATTGTACAGAGCTAAAAAATCTGAGCAACAAGAAAACAAATAACCACCAGGTGGTGGTGGCACACGCCTTTAATTCCAGCACTCGGAAGTCAGAGGCAGGTGGATCTCTGTGAGTTGGAGGCCAGCCTGGTCTCCAGAGGGAGTTCCAGGACAGGCTCCAAAGCTACAAAGAGAAACCCTGCCTCGGAAAAATTTTTTTTTTGAAATATAGAATTAAATGGGAAAATCTTTAAAGATGAAAGACAACTGGCTGAGAAACACTTCTTTAAAAATATTTATTTACTCTTCTGCCTCCATGTATCCCTGCCCACCAGAAGCAGGCACCAGATCTCATTACAGATGGTTGGGAGCCACCATGCGGTTGCTGGGAATTGAACTCAGGTCCTCTGGGAGAGCAGCCAGTGCTCTTAACCGTTTAGCCATCTCTCCAGCCCGAGAAACACTTTAAAAAAAATGTTCAGAATCATTAGTTATCAGGGAAATGCAAATTAACATTTCAATTTTGATTTAGTCCAGTCAGAATAAAACAAAAGACAACACTTACTGAGGAGAAGACAGGGAACAGAGAAAACTTCCCCAGAGTGCTAACTGCTGCAGGCACTAAGGGAATCAGTGTGCAGATCCTCAAACAGCTGAAATCAATCTACCTCATGATCCAGCTATGCCACCCTTGGGCATATGACCAAAGGACTCTACATCTTACTACAGAGGTGTAGTACACCTGCTCATCCACGTTTCTCACTGCTGTGTTCAAAATAGCCAGAAATTGGAAACAGCCTAAATGTCTACCAACGGATGAATGGATAATGAAAATGGGATCTCTCTCTCTCTCTCTCTCTGTATGTGTGTGTGTGAATGTCATTCAGCTTTCCAGAAAAATGGAATTATGAAATTTATAGGTGAATGGATTGAGGTAGATGCAATCATCCTGCATGAAGTAACCCTGACCCAGAAGGATAAATGCTGCAGTTTCTCTCCTGGTATATTCTAACTTTGCTATTTCCCTGTACCTTCTCTCTAAACCAATGTATTCCCAATTATTTGACGTCTCTATAAAACATTATAGCTCAGAACAAGAGTGTGGGTATTACTTGTTCTAACCTTGGTTTAGACTCTTTTTTCTTTTCTTTTTTTTTTTTTTGGACAAGGATTGAAAGCGATGTCCAAGCCTAGTCATTGGCCAGCAGCATTGTAACTAATATTAATCTCTGTGTGTTATTTGGGGGCCCTAACATAATGGCGGATCTCAGGCGGCTGGCAGAAACAGTTATGGTTACAAAGGATTTCAAGAATTACCGGCTCCTGAACGTGGATGTCAATGAGGAGGCCTCGGCACTCTAGGGGGTCCCTGGTAGCGGATCAGTATTTACCCCTGGTGTAAGAAGGGACTCTGGGAGCCCATCCCAAATGGAGGGATGCTCTCTCAGGCTGGACACATGGGGGAGGGCCTAGGCCCTGCCCAGGAATATATGACATTGAGGTGGGGGTCTGGCGGGGGTTGGGTGAGGGGAGGGAGAAGGGATTGACATGTAAAGCAGCCTTGTTTCTAATTTGAACTAACAAAAATTATATTTTAAAAAAAAGAATTACCTATCA